AGGGCTCTTGGGTGAGAAGCATTCAGGGCCATAAGGGCTTCGATTCGGCGTGTCACGGCCTTAGGGTTAAGGGTGCAGCGCTTCAAGGTTTTAGGATTGAGGCTTTCCTCCAGTCTAGGCTGTTACTTTGAGGCGGTTGAATTTTCGGATTTCTGGGGTTTCGGGGTTCGGGGTTCGCGGTCTTGCAACCCCCCAAACCCGGAACCCTAACCCTAAACCCTAAACCCTAAACCCAAACATGCCCCTGCCCCGGCATGCCTGGGCTTCAGGTTGGCCAGGACAGTCACGAGCTGCCCCTCCATCTCCTGCCGAGTTCGCGGTGCCCTTCCTTTAAAGGGGGGACCCCAGTATAGAAGCCTATGGGGTTTAGGGTTTAGGGTTTAGGGTTTAGGGTTTAGGGTTTAGGCCTTAGGGTTTAGGGTTTAGGGTTTAGGGCTTAGGGTTTAGGGTTGAGGGTATAGAAGCCTATGGCACCGTAAAAGGGGCCCTGTTGGTACCCTGACAGGGAGCCTAGTATTGAACCATGTAGGACCCTCAGGGGTTCATTTCACGGTTCCCGTCAAGTGCTCTTTTGAGAAGGTTTCCTTTCCGGTGTCCCTTGAAGAGCTGCTTGAGGTCTTCCCGCCTTAAGGTTCTGAGTGGCTTGGGGTTTGGGGATCTAGACTTTCTATGAGGTTTCTACCGAGCTTTATATACTTCAGGGCTTCAGGGTTGCAATATAGGTTCCGAGCTTCAAGGCTCCGGATGCGCTTGTTGGGATGTCTTGGGCTTAGGGTTTCTTAGGGGGGTTCTTGTGTCATGGCTCTAGGGCGTCTTGGGGTTCAGGGGTCTCGGAGCAGGCTTGCTTGCCAGGGCTTCCGGGCTTGAGGTTTCTACCTGTTTGTGTGAAAAGTTTTCGGGGTATGATCTCGGATTTGATGAGGCAATGTGGAAAAGGTGGACACGGAGTTGTACCCTCATGGAAAGTGGCTTCGGACTTTTAGGTTTACAGTGTACTGCGGCCCTACGGCGGCTTCAGGGGACGTACGATCTAATACGTTAGGGGTAATTACCACTACTATTTTGGGGGCTCCTTATGAAAGTTATAGTTCTAAGTATTAAGGCCCCTAAACCCTAAACCCTTATAGTAGCCATTATAGAGCCCTTTAAGGACCCCCCCCCCCAAAAAAAAAGAGCCTTATTCTACTTATTAAGGCCCCCCCCAAAAGTATCATGGGAAGCTCTTGAGTCCGGGGGGACCTTGGCATTGGAGACGAGGTGTTGAGAGGGGTTTGAGGACCAACATCCGTGATGCGCAGACCTACTAAGTGCTAGGGTTTCGGGTTAAGGTTTTAGGTTTTAGGGTTTAGGGGTTTAGGGTTTAGGGGTTTAGGGGTTTAGGGTTTAGGGTTGAGGGTTCTACTAAGTACTAGGGTTGAGGGCTTAGGGCTTTTTATGTTAACGAAGCTGCCACTTGAGGTGAGAAATCGACGGGGTGGAGGGTTGGAACCTCGGACTCGAAGCGTACGACTTAGCGTCCTCAAGGTCACGACAAACCCGAAACCAGAGCCTCAAGACTAAAATCTAATTCCGATCCACCTGAAGTCTGAGCCGAATCCTGTGCCTGATTCTTCCACCCGCAAGTCGGTTTAGGGTTTAGGGAGTTTAGGGTTTAGGGTTTAGGGTTTAGGGCTCTTGCCGCGTCCTCCTGCTTCAGATGAGCTCGGAGTCCCGATGCAATCTCAGAGCTCGGAGGGAAGTCAGGAGTTGAGGGGTCGGGCTGGTGTTTGCCAGTGGGGCTCCCTCAAAGACGGGCCGAGCTGATAGTCAGGCACGCTTGTATACGGTTTAGGGTTTAGGGTTTAGGAACACATGTATGTGAATGTACGGAAGTAGGTAGATAGGTAGGCAGGCAGGCAGGCAGGCAGGCAGGTACATTTGTCTGTCTGTCTGTATGCAGTATGCATACACAAAGCAGCAGCGGCATCTCAAAATCACCGATGTTTCAACTCAGTCCAACTTTCCAGCAGGAAGGCCCATCGCCATGCGCGATGCCAGCGCTGTGAAATCACAAAAACCCTAGACCCTAAACCCTAAACCCCCGACACTAAACCCTAAACCCAATACCCAGAAACCTAAACCCTAAACCCTGAACCCTAAACCCTAAAACCCTAAATCCCTACAACCCTAGAGCCTGAACCCGAAACCCTAAGTCCCAAAGAGCAGGAAACAACTCCACCCTCGGGCCCCAACCGTGCGTGGCGCCCCCTCTCCGAGATCAATCTCCTCGCAGTAGAGCTTGTCAGCCTCAGGATCTCAGGGTTTAGGGTTTAGGGGTTTGGGGTTTAGGGTTTAGTTTAGGGCCATTTGAATTTAGGGATTTTGGTCTTAGGATTGTTGGTTGAGCACTGAATGATTTCGGGTTTAGGGCTTCGGGTTGAGGGTTTGGGGCTTCGGGTTGAGGGTGTCCGAGTATGAAGCCCCTCTAGATCTAGACTCTAGAAACCCTCAAAAGTAGTTCCTAAACCCTAAACCCCTAGCTTGCTGCTACTGCTGCTGCTGCTGCTGCTGCTGCGACTGCTACTGCTACCGCTACGGCTACTGCTGCTGCTGCTGCTGCTGCTGCTGCTCTGCTGCTGCTGCTGCTGCTGCTGCTGCTGCTGCTGCTGCTGCTGCTGCTGCTGCTGCTGCTGCTACCGCTACGGCTACTGCTGCTGCTGCTGCTACTACTACTGCTACTACTACTACTACTACTACTGCTGCTGCTACTACTACTACTACTACTACTACTACTAGTGCTACTACTACCGCTAGTGCTACTACGACTACTACGACGACGACGACCTCCTCCTGCTGCTACAAGTTTGCGCGTGCCTGATTTGAGCTTTTGACTTTTGTTCTAAGTGTATAGGTACAGGGAGTATATGATTACGAACTGTTTAGTCCTGTATCGTGTGCGCTCTGAGGTCTCGGACAGACTCTGTCCTCACAGGCGTTCACGCTTAGAGCTTTTAGGGTTTAGGGTTTAGGGCTTAGGCTGGGGTTT